TGCTTAAAGAGAGGCCTCACCCCCCCCCCCCCACACACACATGATGAAAATCACTTTGATCTATATCATCATTCAGAGCGTCAGTGTTCATGAAGATCTGAGTCTAGACATAAATGAACAAAAAAGATAAATGTGTGAAAGCTGCATCCTGCTGCTCCGGCGTGTCGATTTGGTCAATGTGACATTTGGTCTCCATGACGTCGTTGATATCAGAGCTCACGCCGACCAGAAGCAAACAAACGATCACAGATCTCATTAAACATCAAACTGTGGACCAGAGAACAGGCAGCTTTAACCCCACTTTACAGAGGAAGTGTGTGTGTGTGTGTGTGTGTGTGTGTGTGTGTGTGTGTGTGTGTGTGTGTGTGTGTGTGTGTGTGTGTCTGTGTGGTGTGTGTGTGTGTGTGTGTGTGTGTGTGTTTGTGTTTGACTGTGTGGTGTGTGTGTGTGTGTGTGTGTGTGTGTGTACCATGAACAGAGCAGTGACCTCGCTGCTGTCAGTCTGCAGGATCCTCAGTTTTCCTCTCAGCTCTTCCTGAAAACAGTCATCTGCAGGAAGTCGCTCCGAACCCCGAACACACTCCAGGAGGACAGGCAGAGCTACACACACACACACACACACACACACACACACACACACACACACACACACACACACACACACACACACACACACACACACACACACACACACACACACACACACACACACACACACACACACACACACACACACACAAACACACACACACACACCCACACACAGTGGTTAGCAGCAGTATTCAGCCAGGCTCTGACTGGCTCAGTGTTTAATGAGTGACCACAGAGGAGCTGCAGGTTCAAGGTATAAACATCCACTCAGTTCACGCTCAGTCTCATGACTCTGTTAAACTTTTCTCATTGAGTTTAACGAGAATCATTAAGACGTTTAAAACTCTGGTCATGTGACAGCTCCACACTGTGGTCCATTCAGGGGGCGGAGTCTGTACATCAAGTTTAGAAATGTTCCTCACGGCTAATCTCCGATCAAATACGAACAGTTTCCACTAACACTCTAATCAAGAGTCTCAGCAGAGTCCTCTATACGACTCTATAATGAGAATATGTGTCTTTCTATCAATGCTACATGTAGTTGAACAGAATCTCGATGTGAACTAAAGAGTGGAGTAGAACATACTGGAGAACAGGAAACATAATGCAGCAGGTTCATTAGAGCACGGAGATGGTAGAGGTGGCGTGCAGACAGTTTATGGTCGTGCAGCGATCACAGGGAATAAACGTCACCACCCCCTCCCACTCGCTCCAGGTGAATTCTCCTGATTATATCCTGCTGCGTTCTCACATCAGCTCACTCTGACTTAACTGTTTAATCGTTGTTTGAATCAGCTGAGAGCGTTTGATCCGATAACTTAAAGAACACTTGTAATCATAATTTTTCACCTTTGACAAAATGGTATTTATTTCTCTCTATGGACAGGAAGTGGAGAGATTTGAGTATAAAGAAAGGACCTGTGAGAAGAAGAAGAAGCACACCTGTCTGGTCTCACCTGTTGGAAAGGCGTCATCACAGGTGGATAGAGATCTCTTCAGACTGGCAGCGTCTCTGCAGGAACTACGCACTGTGAAACACACGAAGAAGAAGTGATGAGCCCTCCCTCCGATTGTCCACTTCCTGTTTCAGCAGCTGTTTGTACGTTTGAATTTCAAGTCCTCACTAAACTAACTCGAGTTGTGTCATTGTTTGGTTACCATGGAGACGTAAAGTTCATCAGAACAGCGTAACTTCCAAACTAAGCCGATGAAACCTGCGGTGCATCGTTTAGCTTCTACTGCCGCCTGTTGGCTTTGATGTGAACTGCACCATCGCTGCACACTTATCGGCCAAGACGCGACGATAGATCGCCATAACCATTTTGTGAGCATGTTGTCGCTGTTTGGCAGGAGGGTTAAGCCCCACCCTCAGCCCCGCCTCCCTGTCTGTTTCTAGATTGATCTAAAGTCAGGTAGAGTCAGCATTTCCAAAATGGCGACCTCTATGGTTGAGTTTCAAATCTCCTCCCTCTTTAAAAACCTGTGATGACGTCACTGAGACAACGTCCGTGTTTCATACAGACCTCCTCCTGGGTCTCTCTCTCTCTCCCACCTGGGCGTACCTGACCATCTGTGACATCACATGTTGGTGTGTGAGTTATTTTTGTGCTATTGGAGAGGATGGCTGAAGAGAGACAGGAAGTGTAAGGAGGAGAGGGTGTGATGTGCATCAAAGGGCCAAGGACAGATTCAAAACCATGGCTGCTGTGACGAGGACCAAGTCCTTCGTACATCGAGAACCAGGACCTCCGTACATGGAGGACCAGGACCTCTGTACATCAAGGACCAGGACCTCCTCACATCGAGGACCAGGACTTCCGTACATCGAGGACCAGGACCTCCGTACATGGAGGACCAGGACCTCTGTACATCAAGGACCAGGACTCCGTACATCGAGGACCAGGACCTCCGTACATCGAGGACCAGGACTTCCGTACATCGAGGACCAGGACCTCCGTACATCGAGGACCAGGACCTCCGTGCATCAAGGACCAGGACCTCTGTACATCGAGAACCAGGACCTCTGACATCGAGGACCATGACCTCAGTACATCGAGGACCAGGACCTCTGAGTCTAACATTACGTCTTAATGTTTAGAAAAAGTTTGAAACATCACAAAGGATTTCCTCTGATTTTATTTTGTTGTATGTTTATTTAAAACATCCGGTTTTATATTCAAGGAGATCATTTCAGTATTTTTATAAAAACTTTAAATTAATCAATAATCAAACAGACTGTTTGTTTGTTTGACTCTTATCAGTTTATAAAAACAGACTCTGACACATCAGCAGAAACAAATTTAACTGAATAACCTTTATCATGAATTATCTGATTAATCATCTTTTTAACTCAATAACCTTTATAGCTTTATTTATCTTCATATTTATCTTCATAATATCTTTCTAATTATCTTGATATAATAATCCTGAATCTTGAATCTATAATCGGAGCAGATATAGTCAATATAAACTTTCTCTTACCCCCCCTGGAGCTCCGGGATCTCCCTGGAGCCTCCCGGAGCTGCTGCCCGCCTGCAGAGCCTCTTCTCCGGGACCAGCCGCCGCGGGAGTCTCGGTCCGGTCCGGTCGACATGTCCGGTAAGACCGTGAAGTTTCCCCAGCGATCACAGAGTACCGTCACGTGTCTCTCTCCGCTGCTCCTGTATGCGCGTGCAGGAGAGGGTAGGAGCTAACTTCCCGCGGACCTTTCCAAAATAAAGGTCTCCTTGACAAAACGTGTTGCTGTAAGTTTGAATCATTCAAGCCGTTTTTCATCTCATTATTCTTCAGAAGGAGATGGTGTTAGTTAATTTTATTATATAATTAGGCTATATATGATATTTGTTGTGAATGTATTCACACACTTTGATCCTTTCAATATTTCTCTTTTATGTCATGAAGACTTTTATTGGGAAGTATTTTTGTGATGTCATAATATTTAAACATCTTAATGTTTTAAATTGTTTCATTATTATAATGATTATAATTATTCATTTAAAGGCATGCTTTGACTTTAACTGATTTATGTCTATCAATCTAATATAATACATGTATTTTATATAAAAACGATAGATTCATGTTTCAAAAGCACCAGAACTAAGATAAACAAACATGGGTCATTTCTCCTTTTTACTCTACATAAACACTCGCTGTGATGTCGCGTCTCAGAGCTGTGATGTCATGTCTCAGAGCTGTGACGTCGTGTCTCAGAGCTTTGGCATCATCTCAGAGCTGTGACGTCGTGTCTCAGAGCTGTGATGTCGTATCTCGGAGCTGTGACGTCGTGTCTCGGAGCTGTGACGTCGTATCTCGGAGCTGTGACGTCGTGTCTTGGAGCTGTGACGTCGTGTCTTGGAGCTGTGACGTCATGTCTCAGAGCTGTGACGTCGTATCTTGGAGCTGTGACGTCGTGTCTTGGAGCTGTGACGTCGTGTCTTGGAGCTGTGATGTCATGTCTCAGAGCTGTGACGTCGTATCTTGGAGCTGTGACGTCGTGTCTCGGAGCTGTGATGTCATGTCTCAGAGCTTTGGCATCATCTCAGAGCTGTGACGTCGTGTCTCGGAGCTGTGACGTCGTGTCTCGGAGCTGTGACGTCGTATCTCAGAGCTGTGACGTCATGTCTCGGAGCTGTGACGTCGTATCTCAGAGCTGTGACGTCATGTCTCGGAGCTGTGACGTCTTATCTCGGAGCTGTGACGTCGTGTCTCGGAGCTGTGACGTCGTGTCTCACAGATGTGTCATCATACAGTCAGAACTCTGACTGAAGATAGTTTGATGTAGATTTATTTAAAGCTCTTCTGGATCATTATCTGCAGTGTTTTAAAGGCGTGCTGTAGAAACGTCTGACACTCTGAACATGGTTTAACCTGAGTCACTGTGAGCTGCAGCCTGTCTGTCTGCAGTTTATTCCTGACAAGCACGACACACAAACACACACGCGCACACACAGCTGATGTTTATTGCACACCGTAAAAAACAACCCAATAATAAATTAAGCTGGCAGATAAATCTGAAGCCAGCAGCACAGGTAGAAAATGTTTCTTATGAAGAGGATGAGTCTGTATACTGTTCATACTAATATGGTTTGATTTTTACAGATTTTGTAAAAAACAAATTTCAAATATTTATTTTTGGGCGTTTTGTGCCTTTATTGTAGAGATAGGATAGTGGATAGAGTTGGCAATCAGGGAGCAAGAGAGGGGTATGACATGCAGGAAAGGAGCCACAGGTCGGATTTGAACCTGGGCCGCGCGCACGAACCACTGCCCCACCATTGCCCCATTTTTACAGATTTTTTAATCCTATCACTTTTTGTATGCTCTCAGTTAAAATCCGGACAGTTCCCCTTTGTGACTGAAGAGGGCGCTGCTTGTTTACATGCACTTAAACTTTGCTGACTTCAGCCCTTACTCTTCTTCTGTGGTGTTTTATGTCAAGGCATGAAAATACAACACACTCTTCCGGTCATTGCTTTCTAAATAAGAGTCTAACGCTGCTGTTTAACATGAGGCAGCTTTTGATTGGAAGAGAAACCGGAAGTATCTGCTCCTGCTAACGATGCTACCCTGACTGTTAGCTTCACACAAACATTAGCTGTTAGCTGTGATCCGGACTCTTCAGCAGACCCGGACCCGGTGCACCATGAGCCGCAGACGGACTCAGAGTCTGTCTCCAGACTTGATCCCGGAGCTGAACCCGGTCTTCATGGAGCCTCCCGGGACCTCAAGCCGGACTGATGCGGACTTTCTGGACCAGGATCAGGACGAAGAGCTGCTGGTGTCGGTGAGCCACATCACGGAGCACTTGGGCCGGAAGCTGACCGTGGTTCTGGACTCGGCTCTCAACGACATCCGCGATATGGTCAGCGTCCGGATCCGGGTCCTGAAGACCGAACTGCGGGAGAAGACCGAGGAGATCCGGGTCCTGAAGGCACGGCTGGACCCAGATCAGAGGGACCCGTTCTCTGCAGGAACCGCACTGGATCCTGGTCTGAAGAAGCCGGACTCTAACAAAGCCGGTCCCATTGACCCACGCAGGACCAGGATCCTGCAGTCCGGGGTGAAGAAGGAGAACATCGACGCGATCTGCGACCACTTGATGAAGACCTCCAGGGGGGGGCAAGACCCGGACCAGGACCAGAACCCGGACCCGCAGTCGCTCCACCTGTGGGCCGGACCCGGATCTGGGCCCGGAGACTCGGAGTCAACCTCAGAGGACCTGTTCAGTCTGCTCCCCCCTGGAAGTAAGAGGGACTACGACTATGACTGGACCCCCCCAACGGAACTCTCCGCACACCTGACAGGTACGACCAGGTCTGAGGGGGCGGGGTCACAGAGCAGGTCTGTTTGTTAACAACATTAGAAGTCCTAGACATCCAGCATGCGATCAGTTATTGACTTCAGTTGCCTTAATGTGTCAACCAATCTATTACTGCAACTAAGTCAGTGTGCTGGGGGGGGGGGGGGGGGGGGGGGGGGGCGTGGCTTCTGTTGCTGTGGTAGATGCTAAACTCTCAATGTGTTGTGATTTGTGAAGACGTCCCGACAAAATGTTTACACCAGTTCTAACATGGACTCAGAGTCACCTGTTCAGGTATAAACTTCAGGTAAAGGTGTGTTAGTGTAGAGAGTTACAACAGTTCTAACATGGTCTCAGAGTCACCTGTTCAGGTATTTAAACTTCAGGTAAAGGTGTGTTAGTGTGGAGAGTTACAACAGTTCTATCATGGTCTCAGAGTCACCTGTTCAGGTATTTAAACTTCAGGTAAAGGTGTGTTAGTGTGGAGAGTTACAACAGTTCTATCATGGTCTCAGAGTCACCTGTTCAGGTATTTAAACTTCAGGTAAAGGTGTGTTAGTGTGGAGAGTTACAACAGTTCTATCATGGTCTCAGAGTCACCTGTTCAGGTATTTAAACTTCAGGTAAAGGTGTGTTAGTGTGGAGAGTTACAACAGTTCTATCATGGTCTCAGAGTCACCTGTTCAGGTATTTAAACTTCAGGTAAAGGTGTGTTAGTGTGGAGAGTTACAACAGTTCTATCATGGTCTCAGAGTCACCTGTTCAGGTATTTAAACTTCAGGTAAAGGTGTGTCTGTCTTTGAGGTAGAAAACAACAAAAGAAGCTTAAACTTGTTTACAAACAGCTGTTGATCAGAACAACATGAGCAGAGTTTTTTTTTTTCAGAATTTAAGTTTTTCACATTAAATTCAACTTTATTGACATTGCTCACAGAACAGCAGTTTGAACTGTAACCAGCAGAGGGAGCCAACTGACTGTGTCTTTTGACAGGCCTGAAGGAGTCAGACTGTGAGAACCCCCCCCTCACAGAGACAGAGGAGGAGGAGGAGGAGGAGGAGGAGGAGGAGGAGGAGTCGACCAGAGGGGAGGATCAGGACCCCCTGTCACAGGTCCAGACCTCAGAGTTCTCCATGGAGGAGCACGGAGATCCTGGGAGGGGGGAGTCCTGAGGAGGGGGAGAGCGAGCTGCAGGAGGTGAGTCACAGTGAGGATGAAGATTAACAAACACACGAGTTGACAGAATACATTTATATAATGCATATATTTACATATGATGCATTAGAATATTTATGTTTATGAATGTTTACTGCTCGTCTGAGGAAGTAGACGTGTAAACATCAAGTCCAAGGATACTCAGAGACTCACATGGTTTCATAGGGAGTGTTATTCACTGTAACCTGCTGTAGTTTAAAGTCAGGATGATTGGGGGGTGTCAAAATGAAACTGAAGCGTGTGTGTGTGTGTGTGTGTGTGTGTGTGTGTGTGTGTGTGTGTGTCTTTGTGTGTCTTTGTGTGTCACAGGTCAGTTCCCTTCTCTCTCCTTCTTCTGCTCTCTGTGTGGAACCTTCTGTCCAGACTCTGTGTACCTGGAGGAGCACATCAAACTGATACACCTTGACTCTGCTGACGCTATGCAGGCATTGCAGGCCACAGGCCCCGCCCCCCCCTCAACAGAGAGCGGAGCTGAGCTCAGGAAGGGCCGGGGGTTACAGGACGAGGCCATAGCAGGGGAAGTGGCTCGGGGAGGGCCGGGGCCGGTTAAGAGAGAAGTGAAAACGGATGGGGGTTACGAGTGTGCAGACTGTGGGCGGCGTTTTAACTACCTGGGGAACCTGCGGCAGCACCAGAGGATCCACACTGGGGAGAAGCCCTTCATGTGCCCGGATTGCGGGGAGCGCTTCAGACATGCCGCACGCCTCAAGAGCCATCGCCTGGTGCACAGTGGAGCCCAAAGCCCCTTCCCCTGCCCCCAGTGCGGGAAGGGTTTCTCTGTGCTGTCCGGACTGAAAAGACACCAGAGGGTCCACACTGGGGAGAGTCCATATGCCTGCCCCCAGTGTGGACGCCGCTTCAAGGAGCTGGGAAATCTGTACACCCACCAGAGGATCCACAGTGGGGCAACGCCATACTGCTGCCACACCTGTGGGCGGAGCTTCAGACACCTGGGGACCTACAAGAGCCACCGCTGCACCCCAAACCAGTGACCACCCCAAACCAGTGACCTTCCTGAAACCAGTGACTATCCAAACCAGTGATCGCCAAAACCAGTGACCAGTCAAACCAATGACCACCCAAACCAGTGACCCTGTTGACTCCCAGCCAATCACTACCCTAAACCAGTGACCATGTCTTGCTGGTTTCCACATATGATCCTGAGTTTAAACTAATGTGTGAAGAATCTTTTTAAAAACATTCATGTCTTTAACAAACTGACAGAACACGCTGACTTCTGCCTTCTTCTTTGAGTTTGCCATATTAAAAAAAAACAGGTTCTAACATGTGGCCAACAACTCCCATGATCCCGCACTACTTGACCTCATGACATCATCAGACTGCTTTGTTGTTGTTATAGCGGTGATGCCCCTAGTGGTAGAAAACCCACAGTGCTTTTAATGAATAATTGTGTGGGAGGTTTAAGAACATGAGCTGAAGTTTGATATCTCTGCGACTGGAGACACTCGCGTGTGAGAATCAAGCCTCCTCCCTGTGATCAAGGACCTTTTACAGAGCAGTGGGACACAGCGCCCTCATGTGGACGGACTGTGTAACTACACCAGTGCTCACTGTGCTGCCTGTGTGCTACAGAACAGAAGAGTTTTTCTTTTTAACCTTGTTACGCGATGTTACAGATATATGTTGTTATTTTATACGTCTCTGTACTCTAAGCTGTCGTCAGTCGTGATCAGAGCTGCTCTCACTGACAATCTGCTGTCTAATAAACAGACCTCACATCATCACTCAGTGTGTTTTAGACTCACCGGGAATATAACTGTGTATGAACCTCCATGTAAGTACAGGTAAGGCTTAGAGCTGGAGCTGTTGATACACTGCTTCTGTTTATCCACACCAGTCAACAGTCATACTGGTTCTTCCTCTGGGGAACCTGCTTTAGTGGAGTTTGACTTTTACAGTCATAGAGCTCACACTGTAACAGTCAGAGCTCACTGTTACAGTCAGAGCTCACACTGTTACAGTCAGAGCTCACACTGTTACAGTCAGAGCGCACACTGTTACAGTCAGCGCACACTGTTACAGTCAGAGCTCACTGTTACAGTCAGCTCACACTGTTACAGTCATAGAACACACTGTTACAGTCATAGAGCTCACTGTTACAGTCAGAGCTCACACTGTTACAGTCAGCTCACACTGTTACAGTCATAGAACACACTGTTACAGTCAGAGCTCACTGTTACAGTCAGCTCACACTGTTACAGTCATAGAACACACTGTTACAGTCAGAGCTCACTGTTACAGTCAGAGCTCACACTGTTACAGTCAGAGCTCACACTGTTACAGTCATAGAACACACTGTTACAGTCAGAGCTCACTGTTACAGTCAGAGCTCACACTGTTACAGTCAGCTCACTGTTACAGTCAGAGCTCACTGTTACAGTCAGCTCACACTGTTACAGTCAGAGCTCACACTGTTACAGTCATAGAACACACTGTTACAGTCAGAGCTCACTGTTACAGTCAGAGCTCACACTGTTACAGTCAGCTCACTGTTACAGTCAGAGCTCACTGTTACAGTCAGCTCACACTGTTACAGTCAGAGCTCACTGTTACAGTCAGAGCTCACACTGTTACAGTCAGAGCTCACACTGTTACAGTCATAGAACACACTGTTACAGTCAGAGCTCACTGTTACAGTCAGAGCTCACACTGTTACAGTCAGCTCACTGTTACAGTCAGAGCTCACTGTTACAGTCAGCTCACACTGTTACAGTCAGAGCTCACACTGTTACAGTCAGAGCTCACTGTTATAGTCAGAGCTCACTGTTACAGTCAGCTCACACTGTTACAGTCAGAGCTCACACTGTTACAGTCAGAGCTCACTGTTACGGTCAGAGGTCACACTGTTACGGTCATAGAGCACACACTGTTACAGTCACAGTCATACTCATCTCAGCCAGTCCTTCTACGCAACCACAGATCAATATCCAGCTTGGAACAACCAAACTCATACCCACAAAGTCTGCCAGGAACCTGGGTGTCATGATTGATGACCAGCTAACTTTTAAGGTTCAAGTAGCCTCGATTGCCCGGTCATGTCGATTTGCCCCGTACAACATCAGGAAGATCAGACCTTACCTGTCAGAACACGCTACACGGCTGCTGTTACAGGCTCTTGTGATATCACGCATTAACTTACAATTTTTTAATTTTTTTTATTAAAAAGACGAAACATCCAACATTAAAATATTGAAATGGTCTGAAAAAAGAAGAAACATTTATTTTGAAAATACAAAATGAGTCTTCTCTAGAGTACATGGTTACAAATTATATTTGATCTTGTTCTAGTCCTTTCACATATTTACAAGCTGCTTGAAACTTTAAATGAGAGGTTAAACTTCATGAGCTGGTTACTGTTACTCAGCAACCACTCAAGAAACTCTATCATACCAAAATATAATCTACAGACATGGACATTTTGGAAATGATTGCTAAATTTTGCCACCTTGAGTCCTACTGGAATCTGGTCTGGCCCATGGACTAGTAGGCTACTTGGTTGGCACTTCAGGCCACATCTAACTCTGTTGAACTCTGAATGAAAAAGTAAACAAATACAATATTGAGTCAGAGAAATATCCACTTTAACATTTAACAAATGTAAAGCGTATGTCAATTAGATCTAAAGAGTTTATTTTCCATATCATGAAAGGTCATCTTAAATCTTTCTAACCTAACGTGAAAGTTTTCAAGAAGCAAATGAGTGGGCTATATAGTGATTATCATCATCACACCGGTAGGTGGCAGCAAAGCACACAGCGTGCTGAGCCTACTGGAAAAGAAGAAGAAGAAGAAGAAGAAGAAGAAGAAGAAGATTGACTCTTCTCGTTTTCCGTCAATACTATAATTTTCCAACATGGCGGCCATCAGGAGCGGGGTGACTCCGTGTTGCCTGGCCAGAAGTTTTCTGAGACAGGCTGGAAAACCGCAAAGGGGCAGTGACTCTCTTTCAGTAATGTTGAACCAAGTAGGTCTTCCCCAGATATCTACTTCTGATACGTTATCTCTAAGTTTAAAACAACGACGAAAACAGCGACTTTCCCAAGCTAACTCGCTAGCCGGATAGCATCCTCGGTGCATGCTGCTGTTTGACTTTGACAGGCTCAGCCTCAGTCTTTATGTGTTACATCATGCATTTACACAGTTATTATACAAGTGCAAGGTTGTTTAGTTAAGTATTGAGATACGTGTACTTTTATTTATTTATATATATTTATATATAAATAACTTAAACCACCTCTGTGGTTCCACAGGCCACATGTCAACAACTATCACACTGCAACACATTTATTATGTGAAGATAATGATTGCTCTGTTTTAACTAAGCTTTTTGCTGTGGGCTCGTTGTCTCCTCTAAAATGAGCAACTGATGGACACCTGGTTCATCTGAGGGTCAAAAGTGAAATGAAACTACCAGCAAAGTTTCCATAAACAGTGTAATGCACAGGAAAACGTGACATGGTAAACATTGTTATGCGACTGCCTTCTACATCAGGTTAACTTTGAATCTGTTAAGATGTAGACAGAAAATTACAAATGTTTGTGAAAGTTGCGAAACGTATTTAATGTTTAAGTTTTTTATTTTCGGGTTTTTATTTAAATTCTTTGATTTAAGAAAGTTTATAAAATGTAGGTTATATGCAGTCAGCAAAGATGTTTATATATATTTGTTACATTAATAGCATTTAAAAAAAATAAGTTCTTAAAATGTAGTTTAAGCATAACTGGCTGAAAGAAAAATTCAATATTTAGTCTGCAAAGATGTCTGTTTAGTCCTACATTAACATTATAACAAGTCACTTTGTTTTTTGAAAGCTGTTACAGAAAGAGAGAAAAGACAAAATCTAATAAGGATTTAATGAGACTTAATAACTCCTCATTGTCATGATTATAAACTAATAGCTATTTGAAATGCAAACCGATTTATACATTATTGGGCAAACTGGTGGAGGAATTTCAGTCACATGCTAGATTTCAAGTCTCTTATTGAATAAAAAATATATATTATTGGTTGACTTTTTCAAAGCCTTTGATTCTATGTGTCTGAATTTTGTAGTACTAAATGTTTTAGAGTGAAATAATCCTAATATTGACCGATAAATGATCAGAACCGATATGTAATGCATCCCTACTTAAAAGTTTGAGTTAGGATGAACATGTTCTTAAACCCAGATAACTGATGTTATCTCCTTCAGGTTGTTGCTTTCAATGTTGATTGTGTTCCTTACCGACTCTCTGTCTTGCCGGTAAACAAACAGCGGTTGCTCCAGAGGTCCTTTCTTCACACGGCGTTTGAGTGTCAGAGTTCTACTTCCAGGACTCTGCTGGGAAGCAGCCAGCATGGGAAGTTTCTCTGGGTGAGCGCCGTGGCAGTCAGACATAAAAGCTCACAGGTGAGATGGCAGACCTACCTGAAGATAAACGAGATTCATGGTTAAATGGTTTGACTTTCGTATGTTATTGCTGCCCTGCTTTTCACTATCATCTGAGATGGAAATTTTCCTAGCACAACAGAATATTAACCACTTTTTGAAATAGCTATGGGCTCATGTTCTGTCTTTTACTTGGTATGATTTTCTTTTGATTTCCTCTTTTTATTTGCCAGAAGGAACAATTAAGAAACAATATACTATGGGCTACACTGTACAGTATGCCTTTGAATGTTTTTATTGTTGTCGAAAAACTTTCTCTCGTATGTTTTGAGCTATAATTTAAAGGTCAGTGTAGACTTGATCATGCCCCTACACTAGTTTTATTTTGATTGAGACTTTGAACTTTTGACAGTACCATCTATAAACAGATTCTGCCGTACTATACTGCTCATAAATACAACCTGCACAACAAATATTGTTGAATTGTTTTTGTGTTAATTTGTCAGTCTTAAACATAGCTGCAACTTTAACTGATTAGTGCAAGAAAGATGGGGCAACAGCACATTTGTAGTGAAATGTTGATATTGTTGCTTTTCTTGACGAAATAGTAAGCCTGCAAAGGATTTGACTGAAACTGTTTGAAAGATTTTTATTGTGATTTCTTTTTTTGTTAGCAGTTAAAGCTAATTAGATTTGGTTGGTTATAAATGGTCTTTCTATTAATAAGGAGCCTACCTAATTTTCCGTGGAAGTGGATTCAACCATGTTGTTACTAGAATTTCATTTTTCTTTATAAGTCTTATTTGCTCAAATATTAAAGCCAAAATGAGCAGCTGAATAATTCTTAAAGTAGTTCCATGTGGATATTGATATTAGTTTTGATATTTCTAGAGCCCGCCTGAAGAGGGAAGCATCACAGCTCCTTTCTCTTTGCCCGCTGACCCCACCCCTATCATAGCACAACCAATCTTGGAGCAGGTGGCTGAGACTGTTTTTATTTATTAAATAAACTTAAGACCTTTGTTACAATTTCACTTCAATTACATTTTTTTTTCCAGGTTCCAGTTGGAAGTACAACAGCACCAGTAGAGGACATGTCTTCATCTCCCCCAGTCCTGGTTTCCCCCCCTGAGCTTGTGTCCGCAGACCCCTCCCCTATTTTTACACAGCCAATCATTGAGCAGGTGTACGAGGCTGCACCGACTGCACTGGAGGTCATTCAGACTGGCAGCACAGAGACAAGTTTAGCAGAACTGGGATTGGCCGGCCACACACCAGTGGGGCTGATCCAGTACTTGTTGGAGTTAATGCATGTGGATCTTGGTTTGCCCTGGTGGGGGGCCATTGTGGTCGGTAAGTATGGATTAGAGAAAAACAGATAAATCAGTATGTCAACATTCATATCATCATTTGAGGCTGATATTTTCTCTGTGCCTGTTCTTTAAGCAATTCATACAATGTCTTCAGTAATCCCTGCATTCTTCTTGTCTTCTTCTTTCCTATGTCATTGAATCTCGCCTACACTTGCACAGGAACCGTGTTGGCTCGTTTAGCTGTGTTTCCGGTTATAGTGAAGGGCCAGAGGGAGGCAGCCAAGCTCAACAACGTTATGCCCGAGATGACCAAACTCACTAACAGGATGAATGAGGCCAAACAGAGCGGAAACAAATTTGATTGTAAAATCTCCCTCTTTCTTCACTGAATGTTTTCTTTTACGTCACATTGAAGATATTTATGTGTGTGTGTGTGTGTGTTGGTAAGAATCCAGCCTCTTCATCTTTTTATGAGCTGCTGTTTGCTTGTTACAGTTGCAAAGGCCTACTCTGACCTGACCTTGTTCCAGAAGAAGAACGATGTAAATCCTCTCCGTGGCTTTCTAGTGCCATTGGCTCAGGTTAGTTTTCCTCTTTGTACTGTGTTCTTTTTATATTGCACCGTGCAGCGACAACAATTTAAAAAAAACCTTTTGGTGTTAAGCATATCCTTTATCTTAACCGTCAGAATATATGAACTAGGGCTGTCAGTGTTAACTAGTTAATCCTGAAAATAATGCAGTATTGTTATAACCCAGCTCATCACATTTATCTCTTCAGGTGACCGTGGATGAGCGTTGCAGTGTCTCCCTGTAGTCACAGTGTAGTCCTAGCTTCAGTTCAAATTTCATGTATGCCCAAATTCACAGACACATCCTGGAAAAAGGGGACTCGTTGAATCAGGGTTTATTTATACATCTAGAGTTCTTGACCCCTGCATACTAAAAGAACTGCCTTAAAATAAGTAAAATAAGCAAATGCTAGTCAAATAGTTGATCTACTTGTACTTAACACTGTAAGCAGAATAGCACAAACAAATATAACGTAGGCACAGTCCTCCTGTAGTTTTTTTTTGTGATCAATTTTGTATTTAGAAATGTACAAATAAATGACATCATATATTACAAGTTTCCCCCCCCCCTCTTTTCTTCCTCCACCCCCATACACATACATGTACAAAAGTGGATTTGTGCAAACGTCATGATCAGTCCAACTTCAAAACCTTCCCCCCCACCCCCATCCTCCCCATGGCGACCCCACATACATCCCCTCCCCAGATCTCTCAAGGAAAACAGAGAAAATAAAAACATATTTAAGGTCAAGCATCACCTCACTGTCCTCAACTAGATTGAAGGCTGCTTTCCACGCTTTGGGGGTCTTAAGGCTGGCCCCATGCATTCGAGCCACCCCACCATTCCATTGTCCTCCTGTAGTATTGACTTACTATTTAACATACATGTACAAAACCTTGTTGGGAATTGAAAGCTGCAGTGTCAGTTAAGCCAATTTGGCATTAAAAAAAAGGAGCATTATGATTTAATGAGTTGTCTGTCTGTCCTCACAGGCCCCAGTGTTTATCTCCTTCTTCATTGCACTGAGGAAGATGGCCTATCTGCCGGTGCCCAGCTTGCAGACAGGGGGCATGCTCTGGTTTTCAGACCTGACTGCTGCAGATCCTTTTTACATCTTACCTCTGGCCGTCACTGGAACCATGTTCTTCATCCTGGAGGTCAGAGAGACCTTATCTAACCTGTCCGAAATAATGTCAACCATGTTAATGTGTAGCTGAGTGATTCAGTAATGAGAACAAGAGTGAGATTCATTGTGTCATGGATTTGTTATCAAATTTTGAATTTAATTAAATTCCACTTTTTCACTCTTGTAGTTGGGTGCCGAGTCTGGAATCGATAACCCCAACCTGCGAGCCATGAAGACCGTGTTCAGGATTATGCCCTTTATCATCCTCCCCCTCACTATCAACTTCCCCACGGTCAATCTAGCTTTTACTCACATCTGTTTTTGCTATCTGCTGCATTCTTAATATATTCAGTGTCTAAATATAGTTCTTTTCAAACACACTCCAGGCGGTGTTCACCTACTGGTTGACCTCAAACTGCTTCTCCCTCGGTCAAGTTGCCCTGCTCAGACACCCCCTGATTAGAGATAAGCTAAACATCCCGGAGAGGATCAAACACCCAGCCTCAGCCATGCCTGAAAGTGACGGCCTTATCAAGAGCATAAAGAAGGGTTTGTTTCCAAACATTCATCCAACAGAGAAATACTTTCATTAATTGACTTTTTTAAGATGTCAGGTGAAATCTCTGATAATGTTGCTGGTTTGTTCTTCAGGATGGAAAAATGCTCAGCTGGCACAGCAGCTGGAGGAGAGAGAAAGACGAATCAAAAATCATCTGGACATTGCCTCCAAAGGTCAGTCTCACCATGACTCAATCAGCTTATTCCTTGTTTGGCTTTTATGTGCCAACGGCCCAGCTTAATAAGAATTCAATTCAATTCTAGCATAAATCCAAAACTTGAAACAAAATTCACCAGAGTTAGAAAAACACCAGTGTTGTCGTTTCAAAAATAGGTTTCCCATTTATTTTCCAAACGGTCCACTACAGTAATGTTCAGTGTATCACTCCTCCATGTCTTTTTGTAGAATTGAAGCAGTGCACCCTTGTGGCAAGAACCTGGTGTTGCATTAATAAAACTGAAGAATTAAATTTAAAAAAAAAAAAAAAGGATTTTTAAGATTATAAGTGTTGTTTCTTCTTTGCGGTTCAAACAGAGCTGAATATTGTGAAGTGAAAAATAAATTCCCTTCATCAGGATATCCAATTTTACCAATCTTGAACTATTTAATCAGAACACGGTCCTTTAGGTTGGTGGTTCCTTTCAGTTTTTTGGAGGGGCGGTGGGGGGGGGCTTTTTGTGCCTTTAATGGAGAGATAGGACAGTGAATAGAGTTGGAAATCAGGGAGAGAGAGAGAGAGAGAGGGTAAAGCGGGAAAGCTGCCAGAGGCTGGGTTCAAACCCGGGCAGCCCGCGTTGAGGACTATAACCTCCATACATCAGCGCCCCTTTTCCAAGTTCTCAAAGATGACATCTTATGTATATTTTTCTTTACCTTTCATAATGGTCATCCCTTGTCTTTGGATTTTGGGCTGTTGATCATCCAAAAATATAATTTACTAGGTCTCTGTTTCCATTTTGTTGGTCAAATCAGTAATAAATAGTTTATGCCTATAATAAATTAAACAATAAATGCCTTTATTATTATTTTCTAATACAAAATAAGGTAGATATTCAGGTTTTTAGATTACACATGCATGAGTATGTTCTTCTCTTTAAATGTGTGTCAAATGTCTTTATTTCTCTCCACAGGCCCTCTAAGGCAGACTTTTACCCACAATCCCCTCCAGCAGACTGCAGCATCAAGTAAGAACAAGCCAGAGGTTGGCAAAGACAGGCCGTGGAAGGACACGATTGGATAGATCAGACTGGCGAATAGCTTGAAAGTGAAATGAATTATGTGTATATTTATGGATGGAAGAGGGAGAGAGAGTGGTCATCATGTATCGTTCTAATTAAAGTGACAAATCTGTACCAAAACCCCCACTTTTCTTTGTATATTGAGATTTTTGAAAACACATCACATTACTAAGAAACTACATTTGAACAGAATTAAACAAATGAGATCATGTATTTTGTCAAGTCATTTTATTATAAATACATGTTTTTAGCTTAGCCGTCTCAAACTCTGTCACATTGAACAGCTAGTTAAACGGTGTAAAAATAGCCCCTCAGTAGACTTCACACCTTACAGTACAAAATATTTTCTGAACTTAACATCTTTGCATTATATTCTTCAGAATTGTCCTCCTACATTTTATCTGTGCAGATGTGAATGACATAAAACCCAGACTGTTTCTATGGTATCTTTTTCTGAAAATAAAAATGTTCCCATTACCGTTTTCTGGGAAACTCAGAAAAGCAATACATGTAGGTTTATGTAATTTCCTTATATATTAATTGAATAGTTCTACTTATACATACAGTTTAATTAAAAAACGGATTAAGTTAATTTCTAGTTTCACTTCAAATTCTCAGCCAGATGAAAATCTTCTGTCAAAAAGACCTCGGGCACTTTTCACCTTCATTGACATTATCGCTGGGTGATGATGATTGACAGGTCAGGGTGCTGCTGGGGTCCAGCTCAACCTTAAAAATGTGTCGTGCATCAGTAGCGGCGATCGGCCACCCACGGTGAGTTCGGGTTCTGCATTTGTGCGTCAGTCTTTGGTCAGGTGATAAAATGAAACATTTACTCGGCTTTGTCGTCCATTTCTGTCAGAACAGAGTAACACACCTTCTGAATCAGCAGACCGTATTTAGCTGAAAGAGGAGGAGACGGGAGTAAAGTTAGTAGGGTACAACATGTTCAGTTATCAGCACGTATACAGACTGCAAAGATACCGCTAATTTGAATTCAGGAATGTCTGAAACAAACAGCTATGGTAGGCTAATTTTTAAACTGGAACAGCAAAAAGGAGCACACGACAATGAGTAAAGTTCCAGGTGGATGACAGCAAGACTTAAAAAGACAGCACACTAAATGTCTAAATGTTTACAGCGTGATACAGAGTTTGTGTTGACGGAAAGATGTTTTGTCCGATATGTGGAACTCATTTGAGCCGGATTAGTCAGTTTTGCTTTTCGTGTGGACGGTCTCTTGAACTTTTAAAGGACACAGACACAGGAAGGACCAGATATGCACTTCCAGGTCCATTCCCTTTCCGTCAAGATTCTGTCGTTTGTAAATTTGTTTGGGGACTGGTAAAAGGGTTTTCTGCCACTTTTTCAAATTTGTCTCAGCGCTCGAAAAGTGCTTCACATCTTGTACGTTTGTTTTGTCCTCGGTGAAAGTGTTTTGGGTTTGGTCATTTTGTTTTTAAAATGTAAACATGTTTTCAAAAATGTAAATTTGCCTCAAGTTTTTTTTCCCATCAATTATTTAAACTCTTGCAGATCTGCAAAGTCTTATAATCAAAGTAGGCTCTAATTTGTTTACAATTAACATTTAAAGGCTGCACATGCCTGAACCACCCTAACCTAACAACGATACATTATCAAAATGTAGCACACCAAGGACCTGGCCACGATCTCACAGGTAAATCAAGCGAGAAACTCTTGGTTAAAAAAATCATCGAAGATCGATTTTATGTCTGAAAACATAGATAGCAGACTTACCGATGGCACGCCGTAGCCACATTGGCCTCCTTGTGGCTGGAGTGTGGATGCACAGGAAGTAAACAGGCACACCTGACAGGGCGATGGCGATGCCGATCAGAGAGTTGACGGTGTCGCTGTAGAGTGGCACCACCACGAGGAAGACGGTGAGGAAACAGAAAATGATGGGGTAGAAGAGACTGAGCTGAGGGAGGAAGAGGGGGGGAAATAGATGAGGTCTCATGTGCAAGAAAGAAAATCTAATATCTGAAACTGTAAATCTTAGTTACATCACATAGCTTAAATGCAAGGTGCTTCATACAAAGAAGCAAATAATCAGACACAATAAAATCATTGGATGAAAAAACAAATTCCAGCCCAAACACATTTTTTGACCCAAAACCATAAAACTTCTTTTCAGATGTATTTTGTAATTTTCTACCCTTTGGATGGAAGAAAAATCATAGGTGTGAAATTAGAACAAGTTTCCCATTACTCAGTAGCCCACTGCTATGATTGTTTCATGCTTACAGGCAACATTAGCTGCTACTAGTACAGTAACATGTCAGAATCTCTGACTGACCTTAATCCAGTTGCATTGTGGTTATTTTAACAAAGAAGAAATAATGACTCCAGTAATCAAGTAACAATCTTTGTCCAAGTCCATTTGAAAAATCCAACATTGTCACAGACGTCAAAAGCCAACTTGTCTTTTTTTCCAGCTCGCAATGTGGGAGTTACCTTTAGTGGTCTCTTTCTCTCTGGCTGCTTCCAGCGCAGATACAGTTGTCCCAAAATGGACAGACCAACGAACCAGTAGCTGAAGCTGTAGTAGTTGATGAGCCTGAAGACGTCTTCCACACACAGGTAAATCAGAGCCATGATGCCCTGCGGAGACAGATTAGAAACACTAAGTCCAGCTATAAAATGTAGGGTGGGTTTTTCCTGAAGATTTAACAGTGGGATGAAAAAAAAAAGAAGATGTATCTTTAAATAAAAGGTCAAAAGTAAGGTTGACTGACGTTGAAGAGCAGGGCAGGGACTGGAGTGTAGCGGTGGACATGGATCATGCACAAGTAGTCCGGTAGGTGGCCCTCTCTGGAGCCGACGAAAAAACAGCCTTCAAAGACACAGAATGATGCAATAGAGATGTTGTGAATGACGGACAAAGTATGATGAGGTGGCAAAAATAGAATTCATATTCAATCCCTCACCTGGAGGAAGCCAGGATGGATGCATTGAGTCCTCCAAAGCAGGATAGAGCCACAGCGAGGGGGATGGTCCAGTTCATTACACCAAACACCTGGTCTGCAAAGTCTAGAAAACCAAGATAGAATTCTTAATAACAAGGTGGCCATTAACAGAAATGGATAGATGACAACAAGGACAGAACTGTGCAGCTTCTGCAGAGCCAATCGAGGGGACATTATCCCGCTCATATGGTCAATTACTAAAGAAAAATTCAAACCAACTGAGGGTTATTTTGGGAAAGTAGTAGTCACTATCCTTTGGGTTCCAATGCAATAGAACAATTGTTCACTACCCCAGTTAATAGAGGCTTGCAATAATTTGGCAAAGTGCTTGCCCTTTGCTTGCTCAGCTATTAGCGATGCAGCGACAACTATGTCAACAAGACAAAAAAAGTGATTTGTAAACAAAGGCTTGGAATGTGTTCCTGTTGCACTGCTTACTTATTTAGTTAGGGTAGGTAGTAGCACACATATTTATGTTGAATTGATGAACAAGTAGTTTACTGGGGATTACTTCAAAGGATATTAATTGACAACCCACAGCTAATCAGAATCAAGCTTTCACGACAGGCCGTGGTGTAATACGGATTATATGCACTTACCACAGCCACCGCATCACTGTCTAAGATAGCATTGAGGGGGATGGATGGTAGTAGGCCACGTTGGTGAGAATGTAGATAACTGTCACTATGGGCATGGATATTGCGATGGCCAGCGGTAGATTCCTGCAAATGACAAAAATAAAACAGCAAAGGGATCAGATATGGAGCGTGAAATGATTTCTGAGGGGAGGATGGGGATTGTGATGAGGTGTAAGTGTGTGTGTTGTGTGTGTGGGGGGGGATTAATCTGCCTGGGAACTCTGGTAGAGGCTGTGATCCAGTCACATGTGTAGTCTTTAAAACAGGAATGTAACTAAGTAAATCTAATCAAGTACCCCACTTTTCTTCTGCTTTACTACCTTTTGTCCTGTGCGGTCCGCAAATCTCCCCTGACTGGGAACTTATTCCACCGTGGATAAACTGGAAATTGTTTAAAGCTGAATACAGGAATTCTTTCTGAACTCATTAAAAGGTTTTTACCGGGGCGCGCAGTGGTTAGGGCGCGCGCCCCATGTATATGAGGCTGTCGTCTCAATCGGGCGGCCCGGGCTCACATCTCACCCATGGCCCCCTTCCCGCATGTCGCTCCCCACTCTCTCTCCCTGATTTCCGACTCTGTTCACTGTCCTATCTCTCCATTAAAGGCATAAAAAGCCCAAAAATAAATCTTTAAAAGGTTTTTACCTTGTGGAGACTACAAGACAGCCATCCTAAAAAAAAAACGATGACTCCATAGAATATGATGCACTGCTTTCAAACTACACTACATAAGAGAGTGAACATTAGACCCAAATTGAAATCTACATATTAAAGGGGACATATTGTGAAAAATCCACTTTTACAGTGTTTTTGAACATATATCTGGGTAACCTGAGTGTCTACCTAACCACAACATGTGAAATAAACCCATCCAGTCCTTTGTTTGTGGTCTGCATAAGTCTTACAACACACGAGAAAAATGCTCTCAATTTAACGTGTTCTCAGAGTTAGTATTTCCAATACTGTGCCAAGTTTTCCATTGTTAACCTGAAGAGGATATTCTCAAGTCCCTTCTTGAGGAGGGGAGGAGTTGTATAACAAAACGAAATGGAATACTAACTTATCTCTGAAAGACATACGATTTGACATAATCAGACTTTGAGTTTTGAATATGCGCCTAGCAATGATGCCAAAGTCAAGTTTCCAGAAATCGCAGCTCCTACAATGGCCACTTGGCGCTGGCCTCAAAAACAGGTCAATTGGCACAGAAGCTCATACTAAAATGCACCAAGTTGACAACTGAAGTGTTAACATGTCCCAGCAGCTATATTGGAAATTAATAAAGAAAATACTTTATGATAAAAATAGGAATGATTAGTGTACGCAAACCTTCTTCAGTGTTCAAATTAACAGCTGAATATTGCTTAAACAACATGAACATCATCTTGACCTCTTTACCTCTCTGGGTTCTTGATCTCCTCTGTGACGAAGTTGAGCGTGTCCCATCCAGAATAGGAGAAGAGAGCTGAGTACAGAGCCAGAGCAAGGCCTCCTGGATCTGTAGAGGAGCCCTCAAAGAGGCCCTCGAAGTTCTGTGTTTGACCTTTAAACACCAACACAAATGATTGAAGCGTTCAAAACAT